GCATATGTTACTATGCCCAGCTACAGCAAGGGGTTTTCTAAAGCACTTTTCCCTGTAGGACACCACAGATGTCCTTTTTTTCTTGTCTTTTATTCTTTTAAGATTTATTTATTATTTTACCATAGATGGTTATGAGCCACCATGTGGTTGCTGGGAATTGAACTCAGGACCTTTGGAAGAACAGCAAGTATTCTTAACCTCTGAGCCATCACTCCAGCCCCAACCTTTTTTCTTGTCTTAACCAAGAAATTCAGAGTGCCTTTGATAGTCTGTGTTTTTGTTAGATGTCTTTTTTTTTTTTTTTTTTTTCCTGAACCCAATCAGGGCTTTAAATGATTCTGGGCATTGACAAAGGTATTTAGGTTGTTAAAACACTGAAGAAAGCTGACCTTAAGTTTCCAACCCTCATACAGACTTTCTGTGACATAAACATATTTAGGAGGAACACCTTTCTCCTACTCCGTCTTGAGGGTGCTGCAGCCCTTCTTGGTAGGTAGGTTCTTTAGGAAATGCTTTAGATTTACTGAAGCATTTGGCGCTTCTTTCTTTGGAATCCCACCATCCCATCTCTAAAGGTTTGGAGGCAATCCCGTGTGAGAACTCCCTTGCAGCTGCTTTTTTGGGACGTAACTCCAGGTACCAGTTTGGCCTGAAAGAAGCATTTTCCATTTGCACTTTTGCTCTCTCGTTTTCTCTCCCAAGAACAATTCTAGTGAACATGGGAGTTAGAGCTGGAGTAGAATGAGAATTAACTACTATGTGACTTGTACTGATAGAGGAAAAGAAACAAGTGTTCCATAGGTGGAAGGCTGCAACCATACAATTATAACAGCCCTCACGGGTTTGTATCCCTACACTTATGCGGAAAGTCCCACTTGGGAATCGTGTGTGTGTGTGTGTGTGTGTGTGTGTGTGTGTGTGTGTGTGTGTGTTAGGAAGTGCATACTCTTACATAGATCAAAGGAATGACGCTCCTGTCTTCATCTATCACTCTTATCTTTATTTAATTTTTAAAATTTGTTCTCTCATATATTACATGCCTGCCTCTGACCACAGTTTCCCCTCCCCCTCCTCCCAGCCCCTCCCTTCTACAACCCTCCCACTTTCTTTTTCAGACAAGGTCTTTCAGAGATCCGCCTGCCTCTGCCTCCTGCGTGTACAGGTATGTGCCACTAGGACTCGTGAAAATATTTTATTTTCACGGAAATGTTGATTGGTGAATGGCTACTTGTCTGCCCTCGATCCAGAAAAGGAAAATGCAGACTGTACCGCCTAATGTGCCTCCTGCTGCGCATTCCCAGTATTCCCCAAGTCATGCCCCAAATCTGGGCAAGGTCACTGTGTCATCCCTGACCACCTTCACTAACCACAGCTGATTATACACAAAATTGAGAGCTAGTGTTGAATCCCAACTCCGCTGCTGAGGTTGTGAGATCTGGGCAAGTTTCCTGACCTCTGGGTGGCCCCCCCCAAACCCCCGTGTGTTTGTGTACATGTGTGTGCATGTGGAGGTCAGAGTCTGGTGTCCAGTGTCTTCTCCTATTACTCTCCATCTTATTTGTCTAAAACAAGGTGTCTTACTGAACCTGGAACCCACCATTTTGGCTATATTGCTGGCCCTGAGATCCTCCTGTCTCTGCCTCGTTCCCAGAGCTTGGGGTACAGGTGTTTCATTTGTCTTACTAACTCCAGTGATGAGGCTCCAAACTAACTCAGACCCTCACATGCTTGAAAGGTTATTACCCTCCCAGCCATCTCCCTAACCAGCCCCTGCTTTAAAAGCCAAGTGGTGGGGCTGGTTCTTGCAGAGTTCCTGGTGTTGCCAGACAGATGGATGCAGAAGGCAGTTTGGGCAGTAGCTGATTGGATGGACACTTCAGGCAGGGCACAGCTTTGGCGGGGACCTCACTTCATGCTCTCCACCAGCAGTGGGCTTAAAAGACTGTGTTGGGCCAGGAAGCGGTAAAGTGCTTGCCACAAAAGCCCGACATCTGAGTTCAATTATCAGAACCCACTAGAGGCGTAAGGAGAAAACCAACTCCATAAGCTTGTCCTCATGCCTTCACACACGTGCAGTGACATGTACCTGCCTCCCCCCACCCCCAATTCAGAGGAGGAGGAGAAACTGTCACTGCTGCAAGCTTGTTGCAAGAGGAAGGGCCCCACACACTGACTCCATCACCATAGAGGACGGTGCATGACAGGTGCTCAGTAAAGGATTGTCCCCGGGCTGGATGGATATTGGGCTTGGAGACATGGTACAGGATGTTAAGTATCTGTAGCAACTGATCATTTTGTGGTAGAGACTTCAGACCTCATTGGCTAACTTTAAGGGTTCGACCTAAATTCAGGGGAAGGAAGTCGATGTGAATTTCTAGAGAGATGCCTATAGCTAAAAGTATTTGCTCTCAATCGGATGAGTTGGTTCACTGCATCTCCAACTCCAGGTCCAGGGCATCTAGCACCCTCTTCTGGCTTCTGTGGGCAATAGACGCACAAGTGGTGTGTTTACATACACACCCATGGCCAAGACAGTCATGCATATAAAATAAAAATAAATCTCCTTTTTAAAGATTAAAACTTTTTTTTAACGATTCCTTTTCATTGTTTATGTGCATTAGTGTTTTTCTTGCACGTATGTCTGTGTGAGGAGTGTCGGATCCCCTGGAACTGACAGTTCTGACAGTTGTGAGTACTGACAGTTGTGAGCCATGTGGGTGCTGGGAATTGAACCTGGGTCCTCTGGAAGAGCAGCCAGTGATCTTAACCTCTAAGCTATCTCTCAAGCCCAAAATAAATCTTTTCGTAAAAGAACAGTTTTCTTTCTTCATGTGTATTATTCCTGAACTTGGGATCATAAAAAGGATATTTGTTTGGTATGACCCTCTCGGGGAGAGGAGCGAAGAGATACAGTGGCCCCTCACGATCTATCTTCAGGACCCTGTGTGGAGGCTGAAGTTTATGTAGAGGGTGAGAGCACTATGTGGATCTAAGCAGCTCTCCAGTCAGGTGGTCCTATAACTACGTGGGCCCCAATCTCCCCAGCAAGTGGTCTGACGGGCCTTCAAAACTGTGTGAAATCACTTTTTTTTGGAGGACAAAGGCCTCCTCTAGCCAGCACCATGCTTTATTTAGCCTTTTCTTCTTTTCCCAGCATAAAATTCCTGGAACTTTTTTTTTCTGGGTAGCAAGTTCCTCCTCTGCCTGGCATGAGGAGAAAAGGCACATGTTTGACTTTAGGTTTTCTCTTTTCCCACCAAGAAATTTCTGGGGAAATTCCTGTTTCTTGGAGTCCACTATTTCAAAAGTCTGATAGCCAAAACAAGAGCCAAAACAGGAGACCAAAACAAGGTCTCTCTTTAAAGACCTTCATTACAGCACTTTGACTAACTGGTGACTTCCTAAGCCATAGAGGCACCAAAGAAAATTCTCATGTCACCAGAATACTAATTCTCTCGGAGCTGGGAATGAAGTGTGAGGGGAAACCATCAAATGATTATACTATGACCGAGTGACAGCTATAAAAGGGCCAGTAAAAGAAAAAACACAAGGCAACAAGTGACTTCTCAACAGAATGGGTTTAATCTGAGAAAATCTGAGGAAGAGAGGTCTCTAGAGGAGGAAAACCACTTGTAGACTAGGGACAGTGAGAAAGGAGAAAGAAGGGATGGAGAATGGTATGTCGTAGGTTTCTCTTGCTGTGATGAAACACTGTGACCCAAAAGCAACTTGGGAAGAAAAGAATTTATTTCGTCTTACACTCCCAGGCAACAACAATTCATCACTGAGGGAAGTCAGGGCAAGAAGTCAAGGCAGGAACTGAAGTAGAGGCCATGGAGGGGTGCTGCTTACTGGATTGCTCCTCATGGCTTGCTTGGCCTGCTTTCTTATAGAACCCAGGACCACCAGCCCAGTGGCCCCATCCACAATGGCTTGGGTCTTCCCCATGATTCACTAATTAAGGAAATGTCCCACAGTTTTGCCTACACCTGATCTTATGGAGACATTTTCTCAGTTGAGGTTCCCTCCTCTCAGATGACTATAGCTTGTGTCAAGTTAACATAAAACTAGCCAGTATAACAATTTATAGTAGAAGAAGTTGTTTATTTGGGACTTACAATTCCAGAGCAATAAGAGTCCATCATTTATACTGGTGAAGAAGCATGCCAGTAGGCAGGCATGGTGGCAGGGACAGGAGAGCTCATATTTCAAGCTGCAAATATGAGAGAGACAGAGAGAGAGAGAGAGAGAGAGAGAAGCAGAAATGGTGCAAAGCCTGCCTCCAGTGACATATTTCCTCTAGCAAGGCCATACCTCCTAAACGTACTCAAACAGCACCAAATGGGGACTAACTATTTAAATGCACAAGACTATGGGAACATTTTTTCAAACCACCACACCATGGTTAACAGTTATGAGGCCATATGTAAGAAGGGCACTGGTCTAATTATCTGGAATATGTGACATTGGAGTTGTAGGGGAGGCTTTATTGAGCATTTTTTCTACGTAGTCCAGATGGCCTCAAACTTATGGCACACCTTCTTCCTCAGCCTCCTGAGAGGCAGAGGAAAGCACATATGGCCTGGAGCTGGGATCTTGGGGTTGATGTCTGAGAAAGCAAGGGCAATGGGCAGAGACAGGGTCCAGACAGAGGAAACAGCCTGTGCCTCAGCTCAGAAGTGGAGGAAACATTGTTCATTCAAGAGACAAACTGAAGGTCCCTGGTATGGGTAAAGTGAAGCGCCTTTACAGTCCAGACTCGAGAAGAGAGCTAGAATCATACCATTTATTACCTAGTGTGCCATAATTGGATTTTGAGTTGCGAGGAACTTCCCCTCACCCAGTACCTAGTAGTGACATTAACTGGAGTTACAGGTACTTAGTTGTGAGCTGCCTGAGGTGAGTGCTGCAAATCCGACCCAGGCTCTCTGGAACAGTGGTACAAGCTCTTAAAGCCATTTCTCAGGTCCTCAACGGAATATTATGTTTCAAACATTTAGGAAGTGCTCATCAGTGGAAGCCGAGTAATTGGTGAAACGGGATGGAGGACACCGGAGTAAGCTGTTTGTTGAGCGGATGGTGGCACTGGCGGCCAAAGGACTCTTTCTTAAACTTGAGCGCGGAAAGACAGCAAAGCCCACCTACCAGCTATGGAATTCCAGTCTGACCACGCCCCTCGCACAATCGCCCCGCCCTCACAACGGAGTCCCGCCCCCTACGCAAGCCCCACCCTTCACCCCTTGCAGAGACTGGACTTCTCATTGTTGGCGTGCGGGAATTTTTTTGGCGGTTGCGCAGTACCAGCCTCCTCAGGCCTTGCTGTTGCTTGCGAGCACGATGTGGAGTCGGCGGCAAGGCCGTTTCAGGACGCTGGCGTGCGGGGTGGAGGAGCTGCGGTGCCGCCGGCGGGAGCGGGAGGCAGGTGCGAACGGATGAGGAAGCCAGGGGAATGCGAATGTGGCGATTGGGAGTAGGGAAAGGAGACCCCTGGCTCTGACCCGAGTATATGCCGCCTAGCTTCCTCTCCCTAACTGAGCTGTTCCTCTGCCTCAGCCCTGCGGAAGGCGCGGAAGGAGCAGCAGTTGGTCAGCAAGAGGCTGCTGAGGGAAGATGCCCCGGAAGAAGCCGGAGGCCAGAGTGCGGTTGTGCTCCTTGGGGAAGCTGAGGTGAGGGCCAGGGCAACCCAAACCTGAATGTCAGCCACTCTTCACCTCCAGCTCTTCGCTGGATCAAGCCGGAAGCAGAATTAATTAATTACCCTGTACAACTCTGTGGCCCTCATCCTTAGGTCAGCCCATCATCAATCAAGTCTTTGCCTTTTGTGTTTAAGCCTCTTAAAGATTTCCGGAGTCTACGTGCCTCCCCATCATAGGTGACTCCACCACCCAGATACGACAGTACCCTTCTAAATGGGTCTTTATTTGCTACCCTGATTCGTTTTTAAAACACAGACACCAAAACCCTTCCATTGACTGCTAAACTACGCATGGTCTAACCTCTTACTGACGAATCAGTGACTCAACCTAACCACAGTCTTATTTTCAGTTCCTGAAACATACGAGCCGCTCTTCTGTCTCAAGGTCTTTGCATCTAAAGTGTGTTTTGTTTGCTTAGTGTCTCACAAACTGGCAATCCTTCCTCAGCTCAAGTTCTAGAATTACTAGTGTGCGCCATCACGTCCAGCTTTCCAAACTAGACTTAACTAGACCCTGTCTTGTCATCATTGCAAACTCAACCAAATGGGTAGTCTGTAGTGCGCTGGTAGAGTGCTTGCCTAGCATGCTTCAGGCCCTAGATTCAGACCTCCTATATGAATGGATGGGGATAGGAGGCAGGTGTGGTGTGTCTCACTCGTAATCCCAGCATTTAGGGGTTGAAGCAGAAGGATTCTGAGTTTGAGGCACATTTGGATTATATCGCAGGACTCTGTTAAGAAAAGGAAAAAAAAAATGCACTTGCACAGTATTTGGAATAAAGCTGTTTATTGTTTTTGTTTGTTTTGTTTGACAGGGTCTTTTGTACCCCAGGGTATACTCACACTCTAGCTGAGGGTGACCTTGAACCATGATTCTTTTACTTCCACATCCTAAGTGCTGGGCTTACAGTTGTTCATCACCACACTGGTTCATGGGGTGCTGGGAATCTAATCCAAAAATGTGAACAAGCCAAGCAAGCCAACTGTGCTCCATCTCTAGCCCAGAGTTACTGAAAGAGTAAGTGAAAGAGTCTGTACATCCAGCAGGCATTGCTTATGCGTTAGGAGTGTCTGTGTTTACATATCACTTTACAGAGCAGTTACTCCTAGGCTATGACACATGTATGCTTCCTTTATGCCAGGACATTGAGCATTGAGGCACACAAGACAAGATAGCATTCAAAGACTAATGAAAGAAACAGATTTCCTACCATTTTTATCATAGGAAACATGAGGCACAAGAAAAACTCATTAATTTGTTGGAGGAAGCCTGAAGGTGCTAACTTCCCTGAGTCCATGAAGAGCAGAAATCTGAAAGATACAGGAGTCTGGAGTGTGTCATGAGCAGAGGCAATAGATGTACAAAAGCTTGGAAGCATTAAAACACATCATTGTCGGTGTTACTGGAGTGTAGTTTGCATGGGAAGATAGCTGGAGGGAGGTTTTGCCAGGTGGAGAGGTTTAATATCCTGGAATATTTAATATTTTTAATAATATTTAATATTATTCTGGAAATAACCCTATAAGAAGGCAGAGTAGATACCATTCTTATTTTTTCAGCTGATGAAACAGGTTCAGATTCCGTGGAAGTTAGTGATAGGGCTGGTTCTAGGATCCCCTGCCAAAAAGATGGTGCTTAGTTGCCATACTAGTTTGTTGTTTTGTTCTTTAAGAAAGTGTCTCTCTCTATAGCTCCAGCTGTCCTGGAACCTACTATGTAGACCAGGCTGGCCTCAAACTTGACAAGATCTGCCTGTCTTTGCAGGGATTAAAGGCTTGTGCCACCCTGCTGGGCCATAGTGTTGCTAATAACAAGTTCTGAGTATGCAGTGATATTGAAGATGTCACAGATGAAATTGGTAGACAGACACGTAAGATGAGCTTCCTGGCAATTACATGTCATCCTTTCCCTGTTGTGGGATTCAGGTACAGCAGTTCCTTCGGCAAGCCCAACGGGGAACAGATGAAAAGGAGAGGGAGAAGGCTCTGCTCAGCCTTCGTCGAGGCTTGCAGCACCCTGAAACACAGCAAACCTTCATCAGGTCAGTGTGGGTGGTGGGAGTGGCCGGCTGGGGCTTTCTAGAGACAAGAGGGTGAAGGGGATAGACCACAGGCTTAGCAGGGTTCTGGTGTCATTCATGTAGGCTGGAGGGCAGCATGCGGACCCTTGTCGGGCTCTTGACCAGCAACCGGGCCCTGTTGCAGCTTGAGGCAGCTCGGTGCCTACATGAGCTCTCTCATTCTGAGCAGTCTGCAGTGGCTGAGGCCTGCCTGCCAGCTACTTCCTACCTCCTCACCTACCTCTCTGGTCACAGCTCAGACTTCATAGTAAGGCCTGTACCTTTTAACCCTGCTTGGTCTTAGAGCTTATATATGCCTTTGGGGCCAGCTTGAGCTGGCAGATACAGGAAAATAAAAAGAACTGCCCATACCTATCATCTTTCTTCTCTTGTGAGCTTCAAGGACAGGGATCCTCCTCCTGTCCCTGGCTTGATGTAAGATGAGTCCAGCCCAGTGCTTTTGTTGCCTGCTCTCAGGAGCTGTGTCTGTATACACTGGGGAACCTTATCGTGGAGAGTGAGGCTGTGCGAAAGCAGCTCCTGCCACAGGGCATTGTTCCAGCCTTGGCTGCCTGCATCCAGGTGAGTGTTTCCTCCCTAGCAAGCCTCCCCTAGCTTCTCTCCACATGCTCCATTGGCTTAAGAAGGTAGGGAGCTCCAACCCCTGCCCTATGTCAAAGGGTTGAAAAATCTGGGTCCTTATGACCTATTTTCCAGTCAGATCCCTCTCTCCCTCCTGCCTGTTTCTAGTCCCCTCATGTGGCTGTGCTGGAAGCCCTTGGATATGCCTTGTCCCAGCTTCTGCAGGCTAAGGAAGCTCCAGAGAAGATCATTCCGTGAGTAAACAGATGCCTAGCCACGGCTGACCCTCTTGGTAGTGTAGCCCATGGTTTCCTGATCAGATCTGATTTCCACATTTTCAGCTCACTGTATCTGGCTAGGGACAACTAGGGGTGTTTGAGAGGAGCCATTGGTATCCCCATGGTTCCTGCTCACAGTCTGCTTCTGCTGACAGCTCTATTCTGGACTCCAGTCTTCCCCAGCACATGCTACGACTGATGCACCCAGGCCCAAAGCTGAACCTTGGGGTTGCTATGGAGTTTGCCTGGTGCCTTCATTACATCATTTGCAGGTAACAGGACAATTGGAAAAATGTTTTTCCTGGGGCTCTCTACATATGACTTTTATACTGAATTTAGCTTCTGGAAGTGCTTTGGTGAATTTTCATCCCTCTTGGTGCTTTCTTTGGCTTAGGAAACCCACAGATCTAGGTTATTTGTAGCTTAAACATAGGACTGACTTGATAGTGACTGCTTGCTTCCTATTACCTAGCCAGGTCAACAATACTGTGCTTCTCACCCATGGGGCTCTGTCCACCTTGGCACTGTTGCTATTGGACTTGGCTGGGGCTGTCCAGAGAATGGATGATGTGGGACTAGAGCTGGTAAGTGGAAAGGATCTCTGAGACTTTCTTTATACTCTGACCTTTTGTATCTGTTGCCTCTTTCTCCTTCCACAACCCTCAACTTGTCTTTGTAGCTTGCATGCCCTGTGCTTCGGTGTCTAAGCAACCTGTTAACAGAAGTGCCAGTGGAGGCCATGGGAGAGCAGATGGAGCTCAGAGATGAGCGAGTTGTGGCAGCCTTATTCATCCTTCTCCAGTTCTTCCTTCAGAAACAGCCTACCTTGCTGCCTGAGGGCCTCTGGCTCCTCAATAACCTCACTGGTGTGTATTACATTCTGCTCAGGCCTGGTCTTTTATCATCATTAAAATATTTATTAAGGCCAAAGTGGAGAATAAGGGGCAGGGGTTGGGGCCCCAGTTCAGACACTAAGGAGAGGCCCACACCTTTTGACTACTCTGTCAGTGAAGCTCTCTTATCTCATAACCCTTTTGCAGAGGTCCTTCCTCTTTGGAGGAAGACCATCCCTTACCTACACATGGTTGTCAGGCAGTTTTTTTTTTCCTCCCCACATTCCTGGGTCTCAGTCCCTTCAGGATGCGATGACAGTGATCTCAGGGATCCCTACCTCTTGCTCAGGGTTACCTACCCATACCTCTTCCTGTCTTTCAACCTTAGCTTGTTCCCCAGGATTGCCAAAGATGCTCAATAAGTAAATAAAACTCCATTAAAGCTTAAGTCAGAAAACCTTCCAGATAAAGTGTACTTCTTGTAGACCCACCTAGCCAAGGGTCTACTCTTCTGACCTAGTCATTCTGAAAATTCTGGGGCAGGTGGCCACTCTAGGCTTCAAGTTCCTGGACCGAGGAGACTAAAAATGCAGTAAGAGCTCCCCCATGTAGACACAGCTTCTTGCCCACAGAGAGTGCATCTATAGAACACGCAAATGTGTCCTTCTTACCTTCCTAGAATGTGTGCACGTGTTGAGCATTGGGTGCGATGTTTAGTCTTTTAGTAGCTAGATCCCAGAGCTTGAAACTACTGGAGACATGAAGTAGGAACAAACTTTTCCAGTTGGGCTGGGAGAAGAATCAAGGGCAGGGGACTTCAAAGACAGGATGGGTATCCTGGGAGATCCTGTCCCCCACCAAGCTCTACCAGATATATGGAAATGTTGGGTCCTCAGAGTTGTAGTTAAGGAAGTCTCTGATACTCTTGTTCTCAAGGGGGCTAAATTTGTGGTCAGGGGCTCATGGAATGGAGTGTAGGGGAGTAGAGACTCAATGCTAAAGTCTTCTTGCACGTCCGGGACAAGTTGGCAGCTATCAGAGTGGACACGTTTCTTGTTCTTGAAGGCCCATGTGCCTCCCATTTGGAGAACATGATAGCAGCAGTACTTCAGACTGAGCAGAATCTGGACCTTTAAATATAGAGGATAGTTCTCCATGGTCTAGGCTGTAGTAGGTAGACTTGTAGGGTAGCAGTTCAGAACTAAAGGTACTCCATATGACATTTTCCTTTTCAGCAAATAGTCCTACTTTTTGTACCTCCTTGATCTCTCTGGATCTGATTGAGCCCCTCTTGCAGCTGTTGCCACTATCAAACATGGTTAGCATGCTGGTATGTATTGGTATCAAAACTTGAGCTCGTCAACTGCTGGTCAGAGCAAATAGGAAGAACAGACCTTGGCGGTCTTCAGTACCCCTAACTGAGAGCTGGGAAGTGTTGTAGGTTGATTTCGGAGCTAGCACACAGTCTGTAAACTACTGCTTATGGTCCTTGGGCAAACCAACAAACTACTGGAAGTTTCAATTTTCTCACTTACAATAAATGGGTAGTATCTCAGAGGGGTTGTGGGGATCACATAGAAGAGCCTGTAATAGGGCTTGGGCACATAGTCAGCCTTGCTTATACTATCATAATTCTTGGTTTTCATCCTTCTTGGGGGTATCTATCTGCAGGTGCTTACAGTTCTGTGTAATGTTGTAGAGAAGGGTCCAGCTTACTGCCAGCGGTTGTGGCCAGGGCCCTTGCTCTCCTGCTTGCTCAACACACTGGTTCTCTCTGACACTGAAGTAGTAGGCCAGAGTTTGGAGCTGCTGCAGCTGCTGTTCCTGTATCAGCCGGAGGTGGGTATGGCTTCCAGTCCCTTGCTCAGAAGCCACTGATTTCACCATGTCATTTTGGTACTTACGATTATCACATTTCACTGATTTCATCACCCTTCTCTTCTAGACCTACCTATATTTGTTCCTCTGGGCAAGGCTAGCCTATGTGGGCTGAAGGTCAGAACCTTCATCCTGTTAGGAATGTACTGTCTAAGAAGTGGGCTGACCCACAGAGGTATAGGAATTGGGTTTTAAGATCTAAATATTGGTCCTCCTCTATCCTCAGGCTGCCCAGGCCTTCCTGCAGCAATCAGGGCTACAGGCCCTAGAAAAGCATCAAGGAGAAACCCAGCTTCAGGAGAGGATACATGCTCTCCAGGAGACAGCTATTCATGGATGACCTGGCTGCTTAATGTCACCCCCTGACCTCTATGGCCTATTTATTCTAGGTTCACCTATTTTGTTTTAGAAGCCGGTGGCTTTTTTGTACCCCAGTGTGGTCTTGCACTTATGATTGTCTTGTTTCATCCTCTTAAGCAAGTTGATTAATGACATGTGATACTACAGCTGGCAGCTGGTGGTTTTTGATGAGAAATAAAATTGTATTTTTATATACAACTGTTTTGCCTCAGTGTTTACGCAATAGAGGGAGAAGATAATAAGGAGGAGAACATTCCGAAGCAACAGTGTACAGCATAAGCTTTATAAGGAACAGAGAGCACATTTCCCACACTGTCTGCAGTCCAGCAGAGGCCAGGTCCTGGTGCTCTTGCTCAGAGTCCTCAGTGGAGACACTTCAGGCTTTGCCACTTAGCACATTCTCCAGGGCTCTGGTTACCTCATCAGCACTCAGATTGTTCAGAGACACATTCTTCTCTTGGCCAAAAGCTGAGGAAAGATGATGTAAGTGAATATTCTGCATGACATGGCCACAATATTATAAAGGGTCCTTTTCAAAGGTGTTAAGATTAGAAAGGAGATATGGCTCATGCCCACACAGCCAGTTCAGGCTGGCTATGGCTACTGTGCAACCCTGCCTTAAAAAAAGAAAGTTGTTTTGCTGTGCTTCCCATTATCCCAATGAATCTATTCAGGAATCCCAGGTCCTGCTAGAATTTTGTGTGGGAAGAGAGGTATCTGAGTGATGCCTTAAGGTCACTGTAAGCATTAACTCCCAAGCAGGGGTCTAGCCTTGGCGGACTGTCCACTTTTTGGCCAGCCATAGTACACGTAGCATAATGTGTGGCATTAGGCACACGCTGCACTATACATTAAAGCTTCTTTTGTCTGTGTCCTTCTGGATGCTTTAGGAGGAACCTGATTTATTAGTATATAAGTGTCTTTGATGTGACTCTCCCTCCCCACGGATAGTCCTTTGGCAGGGTTGAAAGGATTAAAATCGTATCACTTAGCGTAAGTATTACCAACTTACAGTTAGTCAGCATACTATGAAAATTTCAGACTGTGATAAATAGGACTAGTGTAATGTAAGAGGCAATGTTTTAACTGGTCAGGGACTGCCCCACACGAAAGGTAATCACCAGCTTTCTTTGTACCTTTAAATTTTTTAAAAAAGATTTTATGTATATGAACACTGTTTTCATGCACAGCAGAAAAGGGAATCAGATTCCATTACAGATGGTTGAAAGCAACCATGTGGTTGCTGGGAGTTGAACTCGGGTCCTCTGGAAGAACAGCCAGTGCTCTTAACCATCTCTCCAGCCCTGTACCTTTAAATTTTTGAGACCAGATTTCATTAAATTTCCCAGTAAGGCCTTGAATTCACTACAGCCTCAGACAGGCCTTGAGTTTGTGATGCTCCTGTTTCTGACTGAGAGGATCTGTAGCTGGGATTAAGAGGCTAGCTCAGGTATGTCTTTTTCAGACAGTAAAACAAATGGTTAGATGTAAGTAACAACCTGAATGATGACAGCCAGCCATGGTACACCCTATAAGGAAGGGGCACAAAATGTAAAGGCTAAACCCTGTTCTAGCTGCATAATTTTAGGCGTGTTCCATAATGTTTGGTTACATTTTCTAATACCTACTAAAGAAGAGGACCTACTCACAAGATTAGAAGACTAATGAGAATGAAGAAAGTACACAGCACAAACCTGTAAGCATAAAGTGCTCAACATTACCAGAATTTTCAATCCCTGAATTTGCACTCGCTAAGACGTGATTTGCAGGACCTACGCTGACATGGAGAAGCATGTCTTTTACCTGAAGTCCACTCTGAATTGCAAAATTTCCTGGGTCTTACCGAAGACCCAGCCAGACCCCATATATATGTTGCCAGGAATTCAAGAATAAAACGCATCACACAATTAAGTAAATGAGAATTTCTTCATTAGCTCTCTAACGCGTTCTCTGCGACCGCCGACGGCCCGGACTTACCATAGCGGACCCAGAGCTTAGGATGCACCTCCGAACATTCGCGGATTAGAATAGGCAGGCCGGGGTGCGCCTTCTTCAGCTCCACATAACGTTGCTGGATGAAATCCCTGCAGGGCCGGAGAGACCACCGTAAGGGCAGCGACCTCGTCACCCCCCCTCCCGAAGGTCAAGGTCACAACTCCAGCTTCGGAAGCCCACTCGCCTCCCCACGCGATGCCTCACCTTACACCCTGGCTGCCCGGCGAACGCTGGCATAAATGAATACGAATCTCTCGCAGCCCCAGCTTTGCGCCGATCGCTCGGCTGGCAGCGGCGGCCGCCATGTCCGCTAGCGAGGGTGCGCCCAATCACGACCTTTCAGCCGCCTCAGTCGGGCCAATAGCGGATCCCTGGTCTCGGCCGTCGATTGGATGACGTAGGAGGGGCGGGCTAAATCTTACCCAATGACATGAGGCCCTTGTAGCGGCCGTGAGGTAGTGACGCAGAGGAAGCCGGAAGGCTCGGAGCGCAGAGTGCTGTGGCAAGTTTTCTTGGTGCGCTGTGGGGAGAAGGTTGTCGCCGCGGTTTGGTAGAGGCGGTTCCGCGATTGCCGGCGTTGAGAAACCGCGGCCAAAATGCCAGAGCGAGATAGTAAGGCTCAAGTCAACAACTTTATTGCTCGCGGCGCTAGAGACGTGTTTGCTGAGTTTAAGCCTGGTGGTGTGTGACGGTTGGAGCCGCGCCAACCTCAGGAGAGGCCTTGCCCAGCTGCCCCCAAATTTCCTTTCTTAGTTGAGGACCGGCCTTTTGAATTTTTGAGGCAGTCCTACTTTCCTTACTCCCTGTCGTAGTTCGTGCCTCTGGTTTGCAGACTGGTTTGTTTATTTGACGTGGGAGGGGAGGGTCTCGCTACGCTGTCAGGAAAACTTCAAAGTCCCGAGTCGTTGGGAATCCCGGTGGCTGAGCTCCTTAGAAGCAATCTTTAGAATTCGCTGTTTTTGTTGAGTCTCCACTTAGCTTAGGGAAACTCGTCTTTATAACATTTTTTTTTCAGGTGAGAGGGGATCTCTAACCCGGGGGTGGGGTGGGGTTTGAACTCCTCACTTTCCTGTCTCCACTGCTCAAGTGCTGGAGAAACAAGCTTCTTCTGCCACAGACAGCTCTTTTGCTCGTTTCTTTTTGAGATAAACAGGATGTGTAGCCCAAACTGGCCTCAAATTCTCGGCGCTTTTGCTGCCTCAGTCTCCTTAGTGCTGGGATTACAGGTGTGGGTCACACCCCAGCTTCTGAAAATAGAGCTTCTTGTAGTCCTCCCGTTTCATCACGGATTGCATAATCGTGTCCCCTCTTCTTGTCTGTTCTGTTCATTTTTATAACACCAGTTTGTGCATGAAGTCTTATACATTAAAGAAGTGATTTTTAGATCATTTTTTTTTTTTTTTTTCCTTTTAGGTGAGCCTTTCTCTAACCCTTTGGCCCCAGATGGCCACGATGTGGATGATCCTCATTCCTTCCACCAGTGAGTATTTTGTCCTTGGACTGTGGGATGAGTTGAGCAATGAGCAAAGTGTGTGTGTGTGTGTGTGTGTGTGTGTGTGTGTGTGTGTGGTGGTGGTGGTGGTGGTGGTGGTGCTGGTGGTGGTGGTGGATAGAGATTGTGAAAGAATTCTGAATATTTTGTTGGCAAGAATGGTCAAAACTTCATAGAAGGTGGTTTCTTGAGAGGAAAACGCTAATCTATACAACATGCTGAACTTATTTTTCCCAGAGAAAGCTTTATCATAAGTTCATTTACCAAGATAATGTAATTATGCTTCATTTTGTAAGTTATACATAATGATTGCTTTGATGGCAGTTTTTCATTAAAGTTGTAATTATGGACAAAAAAAGAAAAGAAGTGGGGGGGGAGGCATAGGATGAGATGAGGGAGAGAGAATGAGATTGGGAGGGAAGGAGGGATGGGGTTACAGCTGGGATACAAATTAATATAAAAATAAAAATTTAATTTAGCTCTTTATCTCTGTGAACTTTAAGTGAATCAGGAACCCTACATAAGAGTATTAGAAAAGAAGTGATCGGAGTTAAGAGTCTAGTGTTTGTGTTGCTTTATTACTTATATAGGAATTTTTCCTGTTGAAAATTAAGCATTGGAAATGAGAGTAAGATAGTCTTTTCTAACTTCACAAATTCAGTCACTTTTATATTATTAGTTTGTGTGAATGGGTGCACATGTGGAGGTCAGAGGACAACCTTGGGGTTAGGTCTTCATCTTCCACTTTGCTTTGAGATAGGGTTTCTTTTGTTCACTTCTGGCAGCCAGGTTGGTAGGCCTGTAAGCCTCTAATGATTCTTCTGTTTTGACCTTCCGTCTCCTGATTCGGGTTATGCTAGGATTACAGACACTTCTGCTGTGCCCAGCTCTTACCTGGTCTCTGGATACCTGAACTTAGGTTGCTAGGCTTGCAGGGCAAGCACTTTATCTACTTAGCTTTCTCCCCAGCCCTCTTTTTTTTGGGAGGGGGGAGGGAAGAGAGTGTCACACTTTATCCCAGACTGGCATGGAATTTGGTGGCATTCCTCCTTCAAGTTTCCTGAGTGCTGAGATTGCAGGCATGAACAAAACTTCTAGTAGTTAACACTGTTGTGTTGAAAGTGGCATGTTTACTTTCATTTCTATTTTTCTGTTTTAGTAAAGTTAATTATGTATTTTACAGGATTCTTTTCTTTTTCCTATTGGCTACTAATTGAAAAAAAATTGCAATTTCTTGTAGATCAAAACTTACCAATGAAGACTTCAGGAAACTTCTCATGACCCCACGAGCTGCACCTACTTCTGCACCACCTTCTAAATCACGTCACCATGAGTAAGTCTTTTTCATTCCTCTCTGTCCATTTCTGTGGAACCAGAATTTGGTAGGCTCTTGAAGGCCAGACTTCTTTTAAAGCCTCTGCATCTGAATTTTTCTCTATAAAGGCTGAAGTTTGAGGGATGAGTGGGATGCTCTAGGTTCTTATTGTTTCCTCATGAGCACTGGTAATAGAGTCATTGCAGGCACGGATGGACAGATTTCTGGGCCTGTTATTACTCTATAGACTCATACTCTACAACAGGTTTTTTAGGTGATATCTAATGTTAATGTCAATGAGGTATTTATGATGCTTTTTAAAACTTAGATACATAACAAAGAAATGCAAAAAAAAAAATCTTAGAGATACAGATTTTGATAATATTATGACTGCCTGATCAACACAGCTTTTTGTGTTGTGCTGTTCCCCGCACCCCTATTATTTAAGAATGGTCTGGCTATGTAACCATGGCTAACCTTGAATTCACTATGTAGACAAGGTTGGCTTTGAACTCACAAAGGTCTACTTAGTATTTAGCTCAAGGTGTGTGCCATCACAACTGCCTGTTCTACTCTTTTTTTTTTTTTTTTTTTTTTGTGACATTTTCTAACCTTACTAGACAATTTAATCCAGGCTAGTCTTGAACTTAGGATCCTGTTATCTCAGTCTCTGATGTGTCCTCAATGCCTTGTGGGTTTTAAGGTCTGGGGCATATTATTTTACTGTGAGTTTTTTGTGTCTTCTAGGATGCCAAGAGAGTACAATGAGGATGAAGATCCAGCTGCACGAAGGAGGAAAAAAAAAAGGTAAAGGGATGGTGGAGGATGATTGCTTTGTAAGGTAAATACCATTTGTGAGCAAAGGAGTAGAGGAGTTCTCTAGTAACAGACTGGGTTTCCTACTGTGAAAGTACATTCATGAAAGGGCAGGTGGTAGTAGGAAAAAAAAAATCTGAGAAGAAACCAAATTTTTGATGTTGATGACGATCAAGAGTTGACTGGCAGTTTTACCAGGACATATATCGTTTTCACCATAGAGAGCTACTTGAACTTATAGGGAAACAGGAACAGTTGTGTTGACCTTGAGATAAGAGCTGGTAAGCCTTACATTTCCTTTCTCTGCTCACAGTTACTATGCCAAGCTTCGCCAACAAGAAATTGAGAGAGAGAGAGAACTCGCAGAGAAATACCGGGACCGTGCCAAGGAGCGGAGAGATGGTGTGAACAAAGATTATGAGGAAACTGAGCTTATTAGTACTACGGCCAACTACAGGGCCGTGGGCCCCACTGCCGAGGCGTGAGTACTAGGGGATCCTAAGGCCTGGTGTCATCCTGTCAGACATTCACACTACAGATGTTTCTTACAATTTAACCCACTCTGGAGCACACTCGTAAGGCATTTCAGAAGGAATTTGTCATTCATAAAGGACTGTATTAGTATGACTTTCTCATTATTCAGGGACAAATCAGCTGCAGAGAAGAGGAGACAGTTGATTCAGGAGTCTAAATTCTTGGGTGGTGATATGGAACACACCCACTTGGTGAAAGGTTTGGATTTCGCTTTGCTACAAAAGGTGAGTTATATTTAAAGAGGTGGAGAGAAATGCTGATATTGTTTGTCATGTTTGGGCCTTTCTGAAGTGAAAGACACATGATTGTCCAGACCATTAGTTTGGCAGAATTATAGGTGGCGTCTCAATAGAACATCTTTCTGTTAGTCTGAATTTTGGGGGGAGGTCTTCCCTTTCACTCTGGTATGGTTAAAGGCCCAGATCCCTCACGTCCATCTTTGTATACTCCTGTGTTTACTAGGTACGTGCTGAGATTGCCAGCAAAGAGAAGGAGGAAGAGGAACTCATGGAAAAGCCCCAAAAGGAAACCAAGTGAGTAACTAGCAGTGAGGACTTGGCAGTTTAGAAGGTGACGCCTAAAGTGTAACACATTTTAGTGCCCCCTCCCAATATTTTTTTTTTTTTTATTCTATTTTCAGGAAAGATGAGGATCCTGAAAACAAAATTGAATTTAAAACACGTCTTGGTGAGTACTTTTTATAGTAGTGATTGCATTTTAGGTGGATTATGAGGATTTTTTTTTTTCCTGTAGCCAGGGTTTCTCTGTGTAGCCCTGGTGTTGTAGTAAATAAAAAAGGTGTGTTGGGCTATAGCTATATTTACTAATAGCCCTATGAGTATCATGGTGGTATTAGCTAACCCACTAACACAGATAATAAGAAACAGACACCTATAAATTTATAATTGCCTTATTTACCTTGGGACAAACTACCAGCTCAAAATAGCTGGTAGTATGGTTTGTGCACACATATAATCCAAACATTTGAGAGGATAATCAAGAGTTGGGTCAGCCTGGGCTGCATAATGAGATACCCATTTCAAATAGTAAGTGAGTGAAAGAGTAACTAAATAAAGCCAGATAATTTTTAAAAAGCTGAACATAAACAAAATAACAAAAATATAAAGAAGGTAGCATGGAGGACTAGAGGGATAATTCAGTTGATAAAAAGTTTTTTTGCAAGTGTAGGCAGGAGGACCT